GGCCCCTCTTGATAACATGCCCAAATAAGTGAGATGAAGTTTCACCATCTGCACTTCAGGAATATCTTGGCTATATTTCTTCCAAGATTGATTTTTTTTGTTGTTGTTCTTCTAGCAATCCATGAAGAATCAATATTCTTCACCAACACCAAATTTCAAATGCATCAGTTCTTCTTCAGTCTTTCTTATTCACAAATAAATATTAACATTTATTTTATGAAATATAACATATGTACATAAAAGTACATAAAAATCAATATGAAACTTAAATAATCAGTGTAAAGTAACCTGTGAGATAATTAGTGTAAATTAGGTGTAACTGCTATCTTGACTTTTTCCCATAATGGGTTAACTTTTGGGGATGAAGGGGAAGCTCTGATTTGTAGCATTTGCTGATTTCCACGGTTTAAATACTCTTATCATGGTTGATTTCAGGTTATCAACATGATGTCAATGGGTTTACCAAATGTCTGAAAATTTAACAACTAGCTTTTGTGAGTCTGTCTAAGCAAACACCACAGCCAGTTCCTTCATTTATCTGTTTCTGCTTCTTTATTTTCCTCTTCTTTCTCCTCCTTCTCTTGTTCCTCCCTTTCTCTTTCCCTTCCCCTTCTTCTTTTTCTTTTACTGCTTTACAATTTTACTACCTAAGTATATGCCTCTAAATATGTGGTTGTGTCTGAATGTTTCTATTTTTGTTTCTTCCTACTTCTCCTTTACCTCTTGAGTCATATAATTATTGTTTTCATTATTTCTGATAATGTCAATGCTGTGCTCACTTAATTAAAATATTTTGAAGTTTTCTTCCCTTTCCTATATTCTAGAAAACCTTAAATAACACTAATTATTTATTCTTTGAATGTTTCATAGAATTTCCATGAGAAACCATCTAGAGCCACTGATGTTTTGAGGAACTTCCTCTCTCTGCTAACATTAATTATTCCTTCCATGAAAATCAATCTGCTTAAGATTTCAAAAAGTTTCCCTCCTGGTCAGTTTTGGTAAAATATATTAACAAAACAAAACAAAACAAAAAATGATTTCACCCAGGTTTTCAAATACTTGAGGAAAATAGTGTTAAGATATTTTAAATTTTGTCTTTTCTAGAGGTATTTCACTTGTACCTTTTTTACTTTTTAATATTTTCATTATATATATATTTTTTTTCTTGATTAGGTAGATAGCCATCTAAGTATATCAGTCTACATCATTGTCTTTTTTGGGAGGCAGGGAGGGAAAACAAGTTTTGAGATTATTTCCAGTGTTTTTGTATTTTCTAATTTATTAATCTCTTATAATTTTATTAGCTTCTTCCTATTTCTTACTTGTTGAGTCAGATAATTCATTTTCATTATTTTTGCCTGTTGATGCATGTACTTAAGGGTAGCAGTTTTCTCTGAGCATAGCACTTAGCTGTTCTCATAAGGAAGCTCCTAGGAAGAAACATATATAGCAAAAACAAAAACACTAAACTGTAATTCAGGGGACATAGATTTTAGTACTGATTTTCTTTCTGTGTTATAGTTTCCTCTTGGGCTGGTGTTTCAGTTTCTTCAACTATAAAATGAGGAAATATTTGATGATCTCATATGTTTTGCTCTCCAGTCCTATAAATACACTCCAGTCACTAGCTAGCAACAAGAATTTGAATTTGATATTTGAATTGAGTCAATAATGTGAACTTCAAAATGGTAAGCATTTTTCCACCGTAACAATTTACCAGTGAGTCTGTGGCATATAGCCTCCAGGGAAATCACAAAAGAAATACGTCTAAACATGATTTCACTATACAATAGAGGCCTGTGCTTCGAGCAAACTCAGTCTGTACAAATAGCCTTTACTAACTTGAAGCTCCTGGGTGGTCAAAATGGTTATCCGACTTGAAAGGTTGTGGGTTTTAGTCCACCCAGAAATGCCTTTGAGGAAAGACCTTATGATCTCATTCCAAAAAATTTGCCACTGAAATTCCATTGGAGCACACAGTTGTACTCCGACATTCATGAAGTTGCCACAGGTTGTAACCAACTGTTGGTGACTGATTTGATTCTACTCATTTTGCTCACTGTGTCAAAATCAGTCAGCTGTAGAAAGTTATCACGTAAAGCTCTTGCAGAATAGTTTTCCTAATACTTTCAAATTCTTGAAATAAACACAAGGGTTCATTAATAATAAAAAAAAATCTGGGTGCAGCTCTTAGCAGTTTAAAAGTGAATGGTTACAAAGTAAAACAGATGAAGGCTAAGAGTAACCACAAATACTGTGTCAGAGTCAAACTGGAGATGTAGGTTTTGTAAATTCTGGAAGTTACTGAAAAATATTGGGGCAATTGTACAATGCTCTATAGGGTCACTATGAGTCAAAATCAACATGTTGACAATGGGTATATAGTAATTACAGCGTTATTAAATAGTGACAGAGTCTGTCTTCAAATTTTTCTTACCAAAAGAATAAAACAAAAGGAAGAAAAAGCATTATTAGGAATAATTTTTGAACGCAATGCTAAGGACTAAGAGCCAGATTGGCACAGAATCTTTAGCTCATCCACCTTACATGAAAATTCATATGTCAGTTCTCTGTCTGTATTTTAAATTAAATAGCAGGTGAAAAACTAATGTACTTTTTTTCATTTGTAAAGATTTTATTACAGCTTGGGTGAAAGTTTGCAGAGCAAATTAGTTTTCCATTCAACAATTTATACACATTTTGTTTCTTGAAAAACTAATGGACTTTGAGTAAGAGTTTATGTCATCATAGTAAAAGAGAAATATCTTAATCTTTGAATTTCCCTGTGTGTTTATACATTGATGTGAACTCAATTTACTTTGCATTTACTTAAGTAATGTAGCAAAATGCCATAAGGGAAATTGAACAAAATCCAAGTGTACCATTTATTTATTGAAAGACATTTTGCCTTCTAGCTTTATAAAATGCTATTATGTAACAATGATGATCATTGCCCATCCTATGGAACCTAATCTACATTCATACCTTCTGAGTAGTTTTAGTCCATACTCTTAACTGTAAGATTATAATTTTACAACCTTAAAAAAATGCATTGATTTTTAGATACACATAAGAAGACATAAGTAGCAATGCTGAAAAATTAAGATTATATTTAATTAATTATTCCTTATTCTTAAGAGAGGAAGGGAAAGCTATATCCCACCCTATATTCTGATTAAATGTTTCTGATGCAGCTTAATTTCCTTTTTCTGTATAATAAGCAATTAAAACTTTATAATTTAAAAATCCCAATATTTATAATATGAAGATCTATAAATATTATATATTCAGATTATATATTAAATTATAAAATATCACCTAATTAGAAACATTGGGTCATTCATTTAGAAGGCTAAAGATGTTTACTGTCGCATATTGTTCTGTGTCTTCCTTCAAAAGTCAGTGCTAGAAGCAACACGCCAAGGAGAATAAGAGCTCAACAGATTTCTGAAATTCTGGCCAAACGGTTCCTCATTTTGAGCAGGAGACAATTGTTCCTCAAGTTGCTAAAGTAGATTTAAAAGATATATAAATATATTATATGTACATATATACAAACTGTTGAATTCAAGTGGACTCCCATTCATGGGACACTATGTGTTACAGAGTAGAGCTGAGATCCATAGAATTTCTTGTCTGTAATCTTTATGGATGGCCAGGCTTTACTTCAGTGGTGCTGTGGGTGGGTTCAAACTACCAACTTTCAATTAATAGTTGAGTGCAAACCATTTGCACCATTCAGAGACTATCTGGATATAGACCCAAGCCATGGCATTTTCAATCACCTCATACACATAGGAAAGCTGGACAATGAATAAGGAAGACTAAAGAAGAGCTGATGCTTTTGAATTGTGGTGTTGGTAAAGAATACAGAAATTGCCATGAACTGCCGGAAGAACAAAGAAGTCTGTCTTGGAAGATGTACACTTGGACTGGTCAGACTTAGTCTCACATCCTTTGGTCACATCCTTTTGTCAGAAGGGCCCAGGCCCTTGAGGATATCACACTTGCTAAAATAGTGGATCACCAAAAAAGGGGAAGACCTTCAACAAGATGAATTGATACAGAGAATGCAGTGATAGTCAGGACTGTGAGGATGGCGCAGGATCTGACAGTGTTTCATTCTAGTATATAGAGTCACTATTACTCAGAGCCAACTCAATGGCACCTAACAACAACAACATGTGTATATATATTGTGTGCAGTCTAGTCAGTTTTTACTCATAGCAATCTAATATGATAGTAGAACTGCCTCATAGGGTTTCTTAAACTATAATCTTTATGGGATTACATCACTAGATCTCTTCTCATGAGGAGCTATGGTGGGTTCAAACCACCAAGCTGTTTGAACTGCTGACCATTCAATTAGCAAACAACACTTAACTATCGTGCCACCAGGGCAGGCTATCTATCTATCCACACACACACACACACACACACACATGCACACACATACATTGGTCATGGTTTGAAAAATATGGAAGACAAAGCATTTGAATTTATTTTGGCTAGATTCTGCTTTAAATTTAGAATCCATGGCTTTTGGAAGCTTGGATTAGATAATTGATAATTTTTGGCCAATTTTTCTGTTGCTTAAAATGAGGATGATTATACGTACTCACCATGGTGGTTATGAGACCAAATGAGGCAGTGTGCATAACAGCATAAAGCACATGGTGATTATTTACAGATTAAATTCCCCTTGTCCTTGAGGTGATCATCTTTTCTACTGAAGCACTGTTTAAAAATATAGAAATTAATGTAAAGGATAAAATGGGAGTTGACACGTCAAAAACAGAGAAAATAATCCCTAGACATGAATTGAAGTGGACGATTAACATGAAAAATGAAATGAATCAAGAAAACATTCAAATTTTCCCTAACATAGCCAGAGCTAAATTGAATACAAAACCAGAATCCTGGATAAGGGATTTGGTACATTTGTCTGTTTCCTGTCATTAAGTGGACTTCTAATTTTATTGTATATGTTGTTTCAGAGGCAAAGGCCCATTGAAAAACACATCTGATGTCATTAATGCTGCCAAGAAAATTGCTGAAGCAGGCTCTCGAATGGACAAATTAGCCCGTGCTGTGGCTGATCAGGTAATATAAGAGGGGAGACTGAGAAGATTCTGAGTGAAATTGTTAATTAGTGCTTGAGTTCTTTAATAGGTTTTATGCGTCCTATAAAGTGCCTCTAAAGAATGAACTGTGAGATATAACTAACATTTTACAAACTGGTATCTAACTCATTCTTAGACTGAGCTGATGGCAGTGGTGGGTTCATATGGCCATAAATTCCTTGAAAAAGAAGAGTACCTACTACTTAGGAGATGTAGTCCTCAACAAGTTAAAGATTATCCCAGTTGTCCTCATTCAGAAAGTCTGCGTGAAGGAGAATGGGAAAGAATATTGCTTCTGGATGTTTAATATTAATCTCACTTATCAATGCTCTTCATAAATGGGATTAATGCACATGGTCAAAAACCTCCAGATTTCGAGAGGTTCC